ATGGTCCAGATCGAGCTTTGATACCATGTGAAAAATACGTTGTATATTTCTTATTTTGAAAAAGATACAAAGGAGGTATAAATATAATACAAGATAATAAATCTATACATTAATCTATCCCTGAAAATCAGGGAAATATTCTCCTTATAAATGTTGTACATAATTGTGCATAAATAACGAAATAAAACTGATTATATTATCATTAAATTCCATCATAATTGAATTATTCTAATTGATAGTGTTAATCTCCAACATAAACAGATTGTCCAAAACTAGACTATTTCGAAGTCCTACCATCATAGTATGTATCACCACTTCTATAGCAAGTTCTCTTACATCAAGACTTACTTTATTAAATCACTCTATGAACTTGTTTAAGGTTTAATCTTGCATTATTCATAGGTATCCCACTACTAGAAAAATGTCAAATAGTAACCGAAATCAGTGACTGAAAAATTTAGTTACTATTAGTGACTGAATCAGTAACCAAATTATTATTTTTTAGTTTAGCAACTGAACTTTCAGTCACATAAAATCGATTACTTTCTTATTTACTTTAATTTTTTTAATTAATCTACATTTCTCCCAAATTTTCATCTTCTTCGCGCATTAACCACACTGATCCGACCTTTGAATCCTTGTTCAAGCTTAATCTGACCTAGACCCTTCATTTCTCCATCCCCAATCCTCCACCCTTCAGTAGCTAACTTTGAAGTGATAACCTGAAATATCTGAAACCCAACATCCTTCAACCTGAAACCCAACACGGTAACCTAAAATCTAACTCCGATGACTTTAAATTCAACCCAGTGACCTTGAATCTCAAACCTCAGTCTCAACCTCGACGAACTCGAGGCCCAAACCCAACTCCGGCGGCATCGAACCCTAATCTCAAGGCAATCCCAAATCATCGTGCTATCAAACCCAATGCAAACCTAGTTGACCTCGAACCCTAACTCAAACCCCAATGATGTCAAACCCTAAGATCGACCCAACCATAACGATCTCAAACCCCAACCCAAATCCAAACCTTGACGGCATTGAATCCAAGCGGCCTGAAACTGTGGCGACATCAAACCCTAACCTAAGCCTCGATGAGCTTGAACCTAACCCCGACGACCTCAATTCCAACCACAACTAGGAAACTTTGTACTAGAACCCTAATCCAAACAGAGGACATCTGGCCATATAGCTCGCATTTGTGTCTTATTGACTCTCTCCTTGTGTTGGAAATGGTTAGGCTTTTACATATTTTTTGTTTAAATTTATATCAGTGTGTTTGGATTGACTATAGACCATCTAAATGATAACACAAGAAAGCTAATGAGACAATCTTCTTTTTTGTCAATTTTATCTTCGTCATCTAGGTATCTCTGCCTAAGGTATTTAATTTTCTATTTTTTTTTATTTGAGTACAATTGGAGTTATTCGTTGATAGGTGATTGACTTCACTTAGTAGAAAGAGACTTTTATTGGTGTTTGTTTATAATCAAAATTATTTAAAATTTTTGTTAGTTTTTGTGTGATTTATCCTATGGTGGCTTTTGGACAAGGAATGTTTGAATATCTCGGGTAGTGTAATTTTGATATATTTAATACAACATATAATGTATTTCATATTCCTTAATTAGGTTTATCGTTATTTTAAAAATAAAAAAAATAAAATAAAATTAGTGATTGATATAGTGACTGATTTGGTCATATATTCGGTCATAAAATCGGTCACTGATTCGGTCACTGAATCGGTCACTGATTCGGTTCAGTCACTAATTCGGTCACTGATTCGGTCACTGATCCAATTGCAAAAATCAATGACCAAGGAAAATATAACTGATTCGAGTTGGTCACTATTTGTTGTTTTTCTTGTAGTGTCCAAGGTCGTTGAGTAGTAGTGTGAGGTTAACTTATTGCAAAGTAAATTTCACACTTTTTCATCAACTCATGAAAAGACTAGATGAAATTTCAAGACAAGTCAAAACACTAATGTGGAGATGGTTCTTTTAATGTGGCAGGAAAGATTTTACATTGTAAGTATTTAATATTAGAATAGATACTCACTTTGATTACAAAAGCATTCACATGTTTTTTCGGGTTTAGCTCCACTATATCTTTCTATAATCATAGGTTTCCAATACATAGGTAGGGGATCTTCCATGATACCCATGACAAATGAGCGATCATAAGCATCACCTATAGAATCATGATATATTTTGGTAAAATGTGATTGTTGAAATTTTGAAAGGCCTTGAGAAGGTACCTGTGAGTTATGTACTTGAAAAGTTGGTTAAGAAAGCACACAAGATTATCAATGTTTTCTCTTGGTTGGAATTATCATCTTGGTTGGTTGTTTGGTGTGGCTAGTCATGTTTGGTTGTTTTTGCACTTGATTGATTTGAGACTTAGCATCAATTAATGTTGAAAGGGCTTATTAAAGGATATTAGCTTTCATACAACCATCTTTCTTTCTTTGTTGGTCGTTGTACAAGGAATCAATCTCATCCCTAAGAGATTTCATCTCATTCTTGTACTATTTTTAGAAGTACTCAAAAACATCATTGGATTTTTCGTGTAATGCCTCAAATTTGGAGTGAAGGGTGTCATTATTTTGATGTAAAGTGGTAAGATTAACTTGTAGATTAGAATTTTATTACATTTGAATATCGTGAACTTCTTGTGAGTCTTAATATCATTAATAATAATTATCGCATCCATCTCTAAGACTAAAGTGTTTGACTAACTTCTAGTTAACACCATGGGACATTACAGTTTGGAAAAAGTTTTACCATGTACTATTATAGGTGACAAATATTTTAACCTAGTTGTGTTTATACATTGAATTGATGTCATGATAATATGAAGGCAAAAGAAGAAAATCCCCCAACAAATTTTTTTTATGTTCAAGTGGATAATTAAGATGAGATGCGTTTAAGTGTTAACTAAAATACTTTATTTAAATGCATACAAATTAATAATATAATAAAATAACAACCAAAATATAATTATGATCATGACACAATTATCAATATAGTTATTAATCGGACACATTTTGTTGCTCAAATGTCATTAAACAATTTAATACAAGAATATATATATATATATATATATATATATATATATATATAAGAGAGAGAGAGAGAGAGAGAGAGAGAAAACTAAAAAAATCTAAATTGTATTCTAGATGTGCATTGGTGAATTTGAGGGGAACTAGCTCTCCATTGTAAAAGTGATATAAAAGGGGAATTTGATGAGTTTTATGTCTAAATATCTAATTAAAACCAGAAAATATAAAGGTTTAACAAATATAGTAAAATTATGCAATAAAATTAATGAAATCTATAAAAAATAATGGTTAATTAATTATCTAATTAGTATCTTATTTCAATTATTATTATTATTGATGTATAGACCTAAATATAACCATAAGATAGATATGTAAGAACTCTAATAATTTAAAATGTAATTAATTGGATCTAATTGATCCACAGTATTCAATTTATCTAAAAATATAAATCAATTTGTAAGAGAAGTAATTACATAAACTTAAAAATTGACTTATGATGTAATTTAATAAATTTAAGTGAATAATTTCAATTATATTTATTGTAATGGATTATAAACTATTAGAATATTGAATAATCAAATCTCAATAAAAGAAAATAAGATTTGGATTGAAAAATTAACTCTAGAAAGTCATTAAAATATAAAAAAAATAATAAAAGAATTGTAAATTAAAAAAATAAATAAAAGCAATAAAGGAAAGAAGACAAATTTAATCTAAAATTTTACTGAATGAAAACTTGAATGTAGAATTTCTACAGAACTTAAAAGTAGAAAAACTTGGAAAGTCTATACTATAAATTAGAGAGAAAATTAGAGAAGCTGTAGAGATACATTATGAAAAGTAGATTTAAAAACTGTAAAAAGAAAATATAATAACTTATGTCAATAGATATTGTACATGACCAATAACCAATAAATTAGAGAAGCTACATTTTGATTTGTTAATTCTACAAAAATCTAGTATGCAACCTTTTTTCTCAGCTAAATAATTAGTTAAATTAAATTCGACATTTTTGCTACGTGGAATTAGTTTTCACTAAACGAATTAACAAAATAAGAATGAACTTTTTGTTGAATTTTCATTGAACAAAATAATATGATGAGCAAAATTTGTAATTCAATATTTTTTTCTTTTTTTAATTTATCAATCTTATATAATATATAAATATTTAGTTAAAATATATAATTTAATTAATAAATTAAACAAAGATTTATTTAATTTAATTTTACTAAACTATATTAATAATGATAAATTAAATAATTATATAAGATAATTATAAATAAATTATGTTAATAAAAATACAGTATTCATCAATATTATCATTATTTTGACATAAAAGTGGTAAGATTGATTAGCATTATATTGCTGTTAAACATCCTTCATGTGAATCTTGATATCATTAATAATAAGACTGAAAGTGTTTGACTAACCTCTGGTTAACACCATAGTAAATTACAGTCTGAAAAATGTTTTATATCATGTAATACCGTGTGCAACAAAAATTTCAACGGTGATGAGTTAATACGAAAGATAGAAGTAGAAACTCCACCACCAAAAACTCTTCTATGTTCAAGTGGACATATTAAATAAGATATATGAAAGATGGATGACACAAGTATCGAAATAGTTATTAACTGCATTCAATTAACAAAATATCTTATCGAACATCTCTACTGGGTAGGTAAACAAAAAAATTATAGTGAATATTAAATACAAAGAGATATGAAAAAAAAGCATATGATTTGTTCTTTAAATTTTATTAATCCAAAAGGTTGACAAAAATTAAAAATAAATAAAATTTTATTATGTTTCATTTCAACCTAATTGTTCGTGCTAGAGAATGCACTCACTGAAGTGTCTTGAAACTTGTCAAGAACTCGAGAAAGATTAGCTACATCTCACATAATGTAATATGGTGTGATTAGGTCACACGTATCAAATGTGTGATCATGGTTCTAGCCTTTTTAAGGTGAAGTACATGATGCTTCTCTCACAAGTGAGCAATGAGTGGTGTTCATATAGAACCTTAGTCATGTGTGAAAATGACCAGAATCTCTCTAGTCCGAGCCTTGTGGGTTAAATGCCCATAGGCTCTTCAATCCCTATGAGTGGTAAAACCTAATACAATGGTCAATCCAGGGTCATGGATTAACCTTGAAACTATATTAGTTAAAGATGTCCTTGCCTATTCCTTTGGGGTTTGGCTTACTTGATTGATCATATGTACCCTTCAATTATTAAGTCTAAAATATATAAAAGCTTGTTATTCTCTAATGGCTTTATAGTGTCAAATCTGGTAGGTCAAATCATGGATCTACCCAAAGAAATCATCTATAGTTGTAGGCATAATTTGACAATTTTTGGGATATTACTCGATAATCAAAATAAATAATGAAGCTATAACTATTTTATAATTTTAAGAAACTACTATGGAATTTTAATTTTTTTGCTCAACGAAACTTGATTACAAGCATAAGAAAAAATAAATAAATTTCATATTTGATTTTAAAGGTGAATTGAGCACTAAAGGTGATTGGACGTTATGATTCTCGCTTGCCAATGAAATCATTTAGGTTAGCTTTAACTTCACATTAAATTAGGGAGCATTGAACCATTAGATTAAAGTAACATCTATGGTCAACCATTTTGATGTAAGAGTTTAGTCATATACTAGCTTTCTTTGTTGGTGTACTCCTTTGTACTAGTTAGTCCTTAACTAATCTTTTCAGATACACGTATATGGAGCATACATGCTAAGTGACAGCGTGGTCTTGGACAAAACGTTGATGTTTATTATACTATTATTATTATAATATTCTATTATTATAAATTAAAGATTAAAAATTAAAGATTTAAATGTTTTTATTTTATTAAATTTGATTTAAGTTTAATTTTGGTCTTTCAAATTTAAAATTGATATTTTAGTCTAGTCCATTTAATTAGATTATTTTAGTCATCCTATCAAAATGTCTTATTTATAAATGTCAACATAAATATTTTTTTAAGAAAAAACTGTAGTTACATATGCAAACTCAAATAGATAATCATATCTACAACTTAATCATATGAAAATAGACAAATTGATTCAAAGAAACATTTCCAATTTACAAGGACTATGAGATCAAGTTCAAAAGCAAACTTAACCTAAGTTTGAGAAACTATAATCATACTTAAACTAATATTTAATAATGTTTACCTAGCCTACATATCAAATCATTCACGATTATAGCCATATACACTGATCACATAAGAAACCAAATTCCAACATTACACTGAGATCCATGAGGATGTTGCTTTGCCAAATACGAATTTTTAATTGATTCTTATAACGTAAACTACGAGCACGCTTCTGATTGACAAGCACATGTGTCTTTGTCCCTTGTCACTTTCTCTAATGTGCACATGTTATTGCCCCAATGTGTGCTTGTCCCTTTCTAGTTCTTCACTTTGATATGGCGTTGGTGGAGGCTCCTCATGCCTTCTTGTGTATGTATTACTCATGGCCTAAGTGAACAATCCAGACCTTTCAACATCAAACTTGTCTATGGCCTTTCTATTCTTCTTCCCCCACCGAATTCCCCATCCAATAATATGAAGGTTTCGAAATAATGCATATCTTGTGTAAATCAGCCGCTTTTCACTTCAACACTCTCTTTGTCTCTCTATTTTGTTGCTCTTCACTCCCGTCTATATATGTTTGCAAAAGCTTGGTGTAAATGTAAACTACACGTATCAGGATCTATGCAGGGAAGGAGACGTACTTTTCAACTCCTCAAAAGGAGAAATCCCAAGTTTTACTCGCAATGACTTAAAACAAGAAAAATTAAAGGAATCTGGTGTGTTTTGGTTAGCTTTGATGATGGCCAGATAGTTCAAGAGCATATCGATGATGTTGAAATTGTGTAAAGTTATGATTGTCCTTGATTTGATCCAAAGGAAAGAAGAAAAGGGTGGTCATTCATGTATGAATGTGGGGAATGGTCTTATATCTATTAGAATCTTAGGTAATTAGACAAGAGTTGTTGTCACAGTTGCAAGCAGGGCCACAGCAACCTTCCTTTTAAGTATCAACTGGGACCCACTGCAGATATAAAACTAGCATCTACCCTTTGGTTGGTAACTCTGCTTAAACAGCTTAATCAATGAGTTTGACCAAAAAAGCACCTCAGCACTGTCACCACGTCTATTTAATTTATTTTAGATGAACTGCCCGTGTAAATCTATAGGCATAGTCAAGCATGAATCTTTATAAAAATATAATAAAATAAAGTTATACCTGCATTTTCTTTTTTCTTTTTTGATTTAACAGTCCTTTTGAGACAGGTGAGCTATCAATTCTGGACGACAATTCTAGGGTTGTATGGTTAATGTAAGGACAAGTATTCCCTCCTTTACTTCCCATATTAAGTTTTGTCCGGTTCTCAATCAGAGGGCACCACAATGCGGTATGGAGACTTTTCTTCACTTATACTTCTAAAAGCAACGGATGATCATTGTGTAAACATACTTCTACCTTTCTCTAGCATCATAACCAACTAAGAACCCCACCATTTCCTCTTGGGTGACGTGTTGTGCCTTCATTGGCCTAGAGAACAATAATACTTTAGACAAAACTTGGATAAAGTTGTATCATGCTAGTGATGTTGTTCCCGAATAAAAATATAACATGTGTATTCTTTCGTCATCTCATCTTCATTTCTTATGTTTTTCATATAGTTGTGACAGGTAAAAATATAATACATGTAATTGCAGAATTAACTATGTAAATCCCTGTCTTAATACTTTGGGGACCAAATGTTCCCATGTGCGTGTCCTTGTAATCCTCAGTTGAAATACATGAGCACCAAAAAGTTGGTAAAATAAGGCTGCTCAATACCTCAAGAACCATCATGACCTTTATTTCCATCTTTTGTTCCTAGTGCTTTACCCAAATAAGCCACTCACAAATTTACACACTAGGGTTAGGGTTAGTCACCAGTAAGCAATGACTCGTGTATGTATATAAATAGAGCTAGAGCTATCTCAATCATCACCCAGCAATTCGATATGCTTGGATTACATATTTTGGGTGAAACCATAAACTGATTGGAACCCAAAACACGCACACAGTAAGTCAAACATAGAGATCAAGCTGATTAGGGTTTTTGTGATCAAGCATGAAGAAGAGACAGGTGGTGCTGAAAAGAGATGTGGCCAACACTTCATCTTCAGTGATCACAAACGTAAGATATGGGGAGTGTCAGAAGAATCATGCAGCCAATATTGGAGGGTATGCCGTGGATGGTTGCAGGGAGTTCATGGCTAGTACAGGGGATGGAGGTGGTGGGGCTCTTACATGTGCTGCTTGTGGCTGCCACAGGAACTTTCACAGAAGGGAAGTGCAAACTGAGGTAGTATGTGAGTACTCTCCTCCTAATTCCGCTCGCTAAACAAAGGGAAGAAAATACAGTCCAGAGTTTGTGTATCAAATTACTTAACTGATTGAATTTTTCTTTCTTTCTTTCTTTCTTTCCATATTTCTTTCATTTGTGTTCTTGTAAGCGTGGATGATTTGATTACCAACAGAGAATTATTCTTGTAAAAGAAAATTTAAGCTTCAGGGTTTGTGTTTTTGGAATGTTATATATCCAGGCTTTCCATATCTTTTTCCCCATCCCAGATTCCATTATTTTTCTTCTTCCTCTTTTGTCATTTTCATTAATCCTTGAACTATTCTTTCCTATACGTTGGGTCATGAATCTCATACAATTAATAGGAAATGACGAGAGAGTGATTAATCAATCCATGATTCAGGAACTGAGAATTGGAAATATATACTGTTTTCACTGATATCTCACATTATTACTACATAGAAACATAATCTATATAACCATATGGTTCTCATATGTACACCATGGATTTCAACGCCTATGTTTTCTGTTTGGAAATTGAAGTGTTCCGCTACTGTATTGTAGTTAGTAAGCTGTCGAATTTTGCTTCTGATTTCATATTTACCATGCTAGCTAGCTGTATAGTTCGACACATAAATACAACCATGCTGCTAGCTGTATATATACAATCAACATGATCAATCTTTTCATACATATATATATTGACAGCAGTATAACTTCCACTGAAGTAGTGAAATGTTCCTGCGTAGTTTAAATAGTATAAATATGGTTAACTGGTTCACCCTTTTATACATGATGTTTGTGCGCACGGAAGAAGCAAATGATTTATTGGGTCATTGAAGTACTTGTTTCAATTGCTCAATTACCTAGTACTTGACCAGTTCAAATATCTTTTACGAATCTTGAATTAATGTTTTATATTCTTTTCATGTTTCCTTTCCCACTCCCGAGTGAGACAACTAAAAGTTTATTGAGCACTGAGAGGCACAGCAAAAGGAGAGAAAAAGTGTCAGATGACTTCTCAACTCAACTCCCCCACTCAACTCCCCCCTGTTTCTACTCCATCAATAATAGTGTGTGTATAAGGCTTATTAGTTTGAGTAAAACTATAGATTCTGCTGAGAAAGCCAAGAGATATGAAGTGAGTATATGTTCCTCCTTTCCATGCCTTCAAGGCAAGAAAACAGCTTAGTGTTTACGTGATGAAAATAAATTATCTTTGTCCCAATCATTTAGTGTTTGAAATGTTATATAATTCCTTAAGGCCCACTTGTATTCAATCATGTCAAGGATATGCATTAAAAATATTTCTTTTGATATATATTGGCATATTAATTAAAGTTGATTAAAGGTAATTAGTGTTGTGTGGAGGTGATGACCACCTCTCTTTTGGACAGTCAGTGGAATTTCTCACAGACCACAAGGGAATTGTTTCAATAAAGGTAGAAAAATAAAACAAAATCCAAGTAGCTTTTATAGTTGGAAGTGGCTACTGCACTTACTGTGTATCTTTTTTGCCTTGTGAAATGTATGGGCTCTTCAGTTGTTTATTATTGTTTCTGATGAACAAAGAATAATATGTAGGCACCTTGTCTAGAGGAAAACTTAATTATCACCTTGATATGAGTGTAAATCAGCAATCGATTTTTGCATTGAGTCTGGGATTCTTATTTTATTGTTCCTATATAACAAGAACTAATTAATATGCAGGTAATTTTATTATTATGAAAATAAAAAAAATATAATTTGTCAATAATTGGCATATAATGAGAATCTAGATTGTCATGTCAATATGAAAACATTCTTATTATATAACATTTTTTTTTTTGACTTATTTAAAAAATTATCTGGACCCTATTAAAAAATTATGTTGGATAAACTGAAATTATATATATAATACCAAGCATGGGAATTATCTCAAAAGGCAAAAGGCATTGATATGTTGCATCAAGTTTCCAGGTGCGTGCCATTATTATAGGTGGATCAATACCTATTAATTGTCAAAACCTGAATAGAAAATTTAATGAAGGCCAATGAAAACCACTCAATGTGTGGTTCCTAATATTGTTTGTTTTTCAGTTAGGGATTTGAGGATACTTTTAGAGGGCCATCAATGTTTTGATATATAAAATAATGCCCAATTTGGATAGCAATTTATTAAATATGGCAGACACAGCCAATGACTAAGTTAGCCACACAAGCATTGTAAGGTGAAAATCAACTAAAGGTATGTATATTATAGGGGATCCTCAAGTGTGCAAAAGAATAAGGTTTAATCATGCATGTGAGCCCCCTAATTAGGTATAGATAGATGGTTGGCCTTAAAATGTGTCTATGCTTTGTCGGGGATAGATAAGAGTGCATGTCCTTCTTTGTCTTCCTCATTCTCAGTCTCCTGTTAATTTTTGGCTAATTATTCTACAATGCAAGCTCATGAAAAGCATAAAAATTCCTTCAGTCAAGCTCTACCACCTCAACTATTTCCATAATATCATGAGGATGAAAATAGTGCCAATCAAAAGTGATTGTGCTTCATTTTTATTTCATTCTTTCCGATATCTTGTCATGGGCATGCTCTTGTTTCTAGCTTTACAAAAATAATGACCCAAACTTTGATTATACCACTCACTACTTCACAAAAACTTAATGACATGATATTGTAACAAACTCAATGACATGATATGGTAACAAAATCTGAACATGGATTCAACCGGTCCGTTGAAAAATTGGTAGCTTTCTGAAACAACTTTTATTATTACCACAACAATCTCATGCAGAATGAAGCACTGCTAATTATGGTGATGGGACATTGCATATTAATTCCTTTTTATGTCATGATACCATGTAAAGCAAAACTTGCTACGCAGAGAAGAAGAAGATGATGTATGAACTATACATGGTAATCATCTACTTTGAAGTAACTCTTGTGTTTGGACTATTTGGAGGGAAATTTGTTGAATGATTCAGATTTCTCTTTGAAGATAGAGGCCTAACAGAAAAAAAAAATGAGGAAACAACCACTTGTCGCTTACCTAACTTAACCAAAACCAACGGTGATAGTACGAATAATACATATCTAGATATATAGCTCTAGGCGGCTGAATAAAGTTAGCAACTTTGGACGCAATATTATCCTTTTTAATCTCCATTATATTTGTTGCATTTTGCTTTATATCTAATCATATATTTGATAAAAAGTTATTATGTCTTATAAACTATCATACCAAAAATGGAAGTTATTTTAAATATAGTATGGATGAATAACATCTAAAATATTTGGCAAGTACGAGTTATATATTTAGGACACTAGCTATGCAAAGCTTTTTCTTAAACGAAGTAAAATTATCTTATGAATATAATAATGTAATCGTTTCTAAAAACATATTTTTTCAGTTTATACATACTTAGCTGTATTTAAGAATATTTTTTTAGTAAATTTATATATAAAAAATATTTTGATTCAAATTTATTACAACAATGATTGATTATGTGTAAAGAGAGTTTCTAATCAGAATTGTTTATGAATAAAAATAAATATTTTATTACGAGTCTTATACTTGAGTGGTTTAAAATTGAAAAAAATTATTTAAAAATGAAATAAAATTACTTATATAAAAATTCTAACAAAATTTTAAGTGGTTTATAAATTAAATTTATATTAAAATATTTATTTTTATTCCTAAATAATTTTCATTAAAAACTTATATGGGAGATGTTTAAGGAAACAATATATAAGTGTGGTAGTTAATCCAAACACATCTTAATGTTATCGATTTTTTGTTTTTTTAATTCATGACTTATCTATGATGGATTTAAATAAATGAAAGTTCGATGTTTAGTTTAGAGATTCCTTTACAACGTGTTGGAAAACTTGTTGAGAATGAAAAAATCGTTTTTGAAATGTGAAAACGGTAGATATTTGTTCCTGAAAATATTCAAACACGACGAGGACCTTTTCCTGAATAATTTTATGATTAACATAAATACTATTTTTTGTTATAAATTTGTCACGGTTTGGTGGCACATGAAATCGGTGATTATATGTGTCCTTATTTTTAAAAACATTGAATCTTGTTGTAAATATTTTTTTTAATATTTGAATGGATTAAAACAACCTTATACCAAACATTAATAACGGTTTCTTTAATGCTTATCTTAGTGTATCATAGTTATAATTTAATTTCAAATCATCACCTGTATATAATAGTATATGAGTTTGTTTGGTAAATTTAATTGACATGCTACTCGAACTTTTTACAAAAAAAATTATTGAGGTTTTTTAATAATTAAATCAAAGCAATCAATAAAAAATCTAATTTTCTATCGAACTAAATAATAAGTATAATTTATACGATTCTTTTGTATAAAATCTATATTTATTGTATAAACATTATTAAACATTTTTGGATTAAAATTTTATATATATATTATTTAATTTTAAAAAATTGTCATTGTATAATAATCGAATAAGTTATTAAACTAATAAATTAGTGGTCCAGAAACAAAAGAAATAGTACTAAAACAAACTCAAAAAAGTAATAAACACAGTATGATAATAACTATATTTTTGTATCCTTGATTTCAATATTTTAAATTATATATATATATATATATATATATATATATATATATAATAATAAAAGTTGAACATTTATTTTTTATTTTTTTAATAATTCAAGATTAAAATAGTATTAAATAATGAGATGAATAATAAATTTTAAAATTTTATTTTAGAATAATATATTCTCTATGTATCTATATATATAAAGAGAGAAAGAGGAGATGAAGATTAATTAATTATTGTAATTTAATCATTATATATTTGAATGTTAATTCAAGGTTCTTCAAACAAAAGTAATTAAATAAAATATTTTGAATATTTTATATCTTTTTTAAAAGTTATATACAGTAAACTAAATTAAGTTAAGGAAAATAATTTATTTAAAATGTACAAAACAAATTGCATACGTAAACAATTAATAGTAAATTTTAATTTAATAGTTAATAATATATAAACATATATATATTGATTAAAAAAA